ATAGAAGAACTAGAGGACACCAATTGAATTTAATGGGTAGCAGGTTTAAAATTAATAAAAGAAAGTTCTTCTTCACACAGCGTGTAGTCAACCTATGGAACTACTTGCCAGAGGAGGCTGTGAAGGCTAGGACTATAAGAGAGTTTAAAGAGAAGCTAGAAAATTTCATGGAGGTTAGGGTCCATAAAAGGCTATTAGCCAGGGGATAGAAATGGTGTTCCTGGCCTCTGTTTGTCAGAGGCTGAAGAAAGATGGCAGGAAAAAAAAATCGCTTGATCATTGTCTTCGGTCCACCCTCTCTGGGGCACCTGGTGCTGGCCACTGTTGGCAGACAGGATACTGGGCTAGATGGACCTTTGGTCTGACCCAGTACGGCCGTTCTTATGAAGTTACCTGCTGGTTTCAGTTTGGTAGGGCTAAGTGTATTAAAGATGGCTTATTGTCATGCTTGCTGCACCTGTTCCAAAATACCACTCCTTCTCTTGAGGAGAAAAGCTAAATATGTACAGTAGGAGGAGTGGGGAAGGGTAGGAAGGCCTTCACATTTTATATCCCAATGGGCAATACCAAGGGTGATTGCAATGAAATGCCAATTACCTAAATCTAAGGGGCTGAGAGATGGCATAATACCCCACTAGCCATTGATATAATTGGACCTGTCAGCCAGGGATAATTGGTTTCTGGTTGACTGAATGAAGTAACAATGGCATCACCTCTCTGTTACCCTTTATTACTGGAAATGTGTTGTCTTATAATAGGGCTTCAATAAATAGTTCACTTCTGCAAAACCATTTGTGGGTTTCTTGGTGTGCAGTTCGGTGGGGTGCCCAGCTATGCTGAGGCTTTTGGAGAGCCAAAGATTGTACAGTTTTGTTTCCATTATTAGAAAATGACCTCTTTGATACTGGGAGTATTTTCTCATAAAGAGCTGAAATCCCCATTGTGTTTGTGCCTCCTCCTTTCTGCTCTGCACCCCCAATGCTAGTTACAGCTGCAGGGGGTAGCTACAACATATAGTTCTAATAAAACATCATGAAGGGAAAAACCTGTTTCCTAACTCACCATTCCAAGGAGGTAGTAGCAGAATGTGCTGGAGTAGGCACCTTACACAGGATGAGTTCTCTATGAATTGTGTCCTGACACAGTGTGTGTGTAGCACAATGAGAACTCAGCGGATACAAGAATCCAACCTGAGGACTGAGCTCAGCATTCATTACTCACCTTCACTTTTCAATGGTCTCTTGTGTAGATCTTTGAAAAGAAATGAATAATTATGGAGCGTCAGACCAGCATAACATGTGATAATGAAAAGGAAGAAGGTCTGAAGGGCATGTAAGCAAGCACAGGATTGCCACTGTTCCACACATGGAACTTCCATTGATGTCCAGGGGAGTTCTGAGTATTCACTAATGACAGGATTACCCCCAAATAAGCACCGCACACAGTATTAGTACAGTAATACAACACTGGGGTTTAATACAACACCAGCAGAGAGTCAGGCCTACAGAATTAGAGATTAATTGTTTACCTTGTCTAGTGACTGAATCTGTACAATGTACATTCGAGACACATACTGAAAAGACAGAGATGAGACTAGTTTCAGTTAGAGATATAAACGGGCACGCAGCAGGCAGTAACCAGCTGAATATATAGTTTAACCAGTTAACATTGTAAATGCTATTTTACATCCCTAGTTTGGTTTATTTTTCTGTAGGGGATTTTTACATTTTAAATTATACTTTCTGCTGTTTTTTATGGTCATTTTGGGGGCCATAACACTGGACTATTTCAACAGAAGAACGGCCTTAATAAAAAATATCATACACCAAGAGAAATCTACATCTAATATATAGTTTAACCAGTTAACATTGTAAATGCTATTTTACATCCCTAGTTTGGTTTATTTTTCTGTAGGGGATTTTTACATTTTAAATTATACTTTCTGCTGTTTTTTATGGTCATTTTGGGGGCCATAACACTGGACTATTTCAACAGAAGAACGGCCTTAATAAAAAATATCATACACCAAGAGAAATCTACATCTATTGGGAGCGAGGGAGCAGAATACTGCTCAACTACCTCACTCTTTC